TTTTTWAWTTTTTTTTATATTTGGAATAGCTATTTTTTAACCTATCAAAATTACCCAAGTTGAAATAAAATAAATCTTAAAAGTACTTGAATCAAAATAGAATTTTAWTTATTAATTTRTTTTATTATTCTTGTTTGTAGTTGTTTCTGGACCACAGCGTTTGCMAGCACCMTTTTRGTAAATTTATTTYTATGGTGTATAACCGTTGTTTATATATTATTTAGAATAAATAATTAACAAGAATATGTTCAATTAATAACTTTGATTAACTTTTCTTTATAATAAAGGTTGAGTTTATTATTACTTTGATAATCACTTGTAAATCATTTTAATATTACRAGATGTTTGTTGTTAGGATGAAAGTGAATATATCCAATTAATAAGAGAAACATATATTTTTAAAATGATACATGTGAATCTCATTCATTGTCCTAAAAGTACTTTCCGCCCATGGAAAATTTTTTCTTCTAATAACAATATAGATTCTAACCAAATTAAATAGTTTGTTTAGGAAGAAAATTCATAGCAAATATTTATATTTGCTATTTAGGATATAATTTCTAATCTCACCATGATTTTTTATTTTATCATACTAAATCAATCTTCGATCAAGTATTATTAGCTTAACAAAATACAATCATATCCAAATACTTTATTAGATAAAATTTAGTAATTCAGACAACAACCAGATAAATTAATTGGCAAAACATTTCAAATCTTCGTTCTTGTGTACTATAAAGAAAAAGAAAAACATTCAACATTTCATGAATGTCTTCCAAATTTTCACCATAATCATCATTTTTTTTTTTTTGTTCTTTTTCAAATGATTCTCAAAACATCCAAACAAACACGCAGATTAATCAGATCTCCAAACCTGAAAATTCAATCTCCAAGAACAAGAAAGGAAAGAGATTTATTTATTATTCCGAATCTTCGAAGAACACAATTTCAATCTCGAAAACCAGAGATTTCAGATCGAAATGCTATTGGGAATCCCTTTGGCATGGAGGCCTTCTTCTTCATAGTAGTTGGAGGTATTGGGAAATAGCAATGTGTAGGGCAATTTCACCGGCCCGATTCGATTCCTCCATCTCTCGTCRTTGTTCATCCTCATAATCTTCTCCTCGATCTCCCTCAGCCGATCCCCAAATCTCTCAAAAGCCGCCACCGGTTCTTCATCGGAAGTCCAATCCGGCGTATCTCTCTGCCCTAGATAAATCTCGTCCACGGAATGTCGCGACAGGCTCTCGATTAGCGATACGCCGAGGATTGTTTGGAGCTGCGCTGTGATGGTTTTCAGTAGGGCTAAATCGGGGTCGGTTTCGAGCTCTCTGTACTCCGGCGTGCCCGGTTCCGGCATGAGCCGGCGGCTCACCGTCGGCCGGTTTGGGAGGTAGCCGGCGTATGGGTATTGGCCGAAGTTTACGGCGGCGTGGAGGGCGGAAGCGATCCAGATGATGATGGTGCAGGAATTGATTAGGTCTTCTCTGGTGTTCATTTTGGGCCACCATGGCTCGTCTCTCAGGTCGCCATGGCCGGCGTTGCGAACCTCTGTCCACCATGACTGAACTTCAGTGTCCTCTTCGACCATTTCGTCTGATTTGTAGTAGAAATAACAGTATTCTCTGACCCAAGTTTCAATTGCCGACCAGACTTCTAGCCCATCGACGGCGAAAGGGTAATCCTCTATCAGAAGCTTGAGGCCATGGGGGCTACTTGGATCAGGAACGGCCACTCCTCTGACAATGGGGTAAGAAAATTTCAGCTCCAAATTACAAGTTTGGTCCCAATTAAGAGATTGTGTCTACTTGGTCATTGTACTTGGCCAAAGTTATAATTCTGTATTCATTTTCATGAACTTTTGGAACAAGAGAAATCAATTTTGACTGGAAGAAATACAAGTATACAATACAACCCACCTCTTGATTAGATCAGTAGGGAGTGCCTGATCAGTGAAGACCCAGTTCTTGTAAATAACAGCAGACATTTCCAAGGCGTATTTTCCAGGGAAGACAGTGACTTCAAGAATCCCACCAGCATTGATAAGAATCTGCCTTGCCAGAGCATTTATGTTCATTGTATCTCTGAAGTGTGGGTGAAGAAGCTTGTAGATTGGGTGAATGACACTCAACTGTCTGTTTGTTGCAATAATGAATGGCTCTATCACAGCATGAGTGTTCAGCCTGCAAAATTCAGTAATTTTTTTTACTTCTTTAGGAGGAACAAATTCAATCCTTATATAATTGTTTTGTGGCATCATACCAATGACTGATCAGCTGGTGATAACCGGAATCGTTCACGGCAACATAAGCTTTGGCCAACTGCCAAACAGATCCCTCGACACCATGCTCGGCCGGAGTGAAGACTTTGCTCACAGCTCCATGATGGTCCCCTTGTGGGTGTGGTAGACTTAGTTCAATGGCTAATGGCTTCAAGATCCCATTGTCCTGCAGGAGGAGGAGTGTTCGGGTAGCATACGTCTTTGTGGACGTCGAGTTTATTCGACTGAGGTACGGCATTAGTGAATCGTGATGGTCCAGAATGAACAGTTTGTTATTTTCCAGACCCTATTTTTCAAAAAGCATGAGATCAAGAGACTGAAAATAGTCCTTAATGGTTGTGGTTTTAGGAGATTAATGAAGTTACGAGTAGCACCTGATCAATAGTGAGGCCATTCAAGTGCGGTTCTATGTGATCTTTTGTTATGGAACTGTTCTGCTTTCCATATGTTTTAGGATCCAACTTGCTGGTGGGAGGAAACTCCTGTAGGGCCAACATTTTTCAGTGAATTATGGGTGAAAGGAGCATTCTGAATTTCGCAAATGAAGTTACGGATTCGAAGTTGTGTCGTACTTGGAGTCGACGAATGATCACCGGGTTCACTCCAGCAAGCATTTCTCGTCCGAACTCTTCATCTGTCCTCCAAGCGGTTTTGTTCTCTGAAACCACAACGTCAAAAATTTAGCATTCTAGTTCATGTTTTCCAAAGCTTGATGTCCTAGAGCTTGATCTGAGTGCAGATGATATTTGCATACCTTTGATCACGTCGGGTATCGGGAACTTCAGGAATTGGCGGCCATCAGAGCGCATCAGCTCCCTGAACAGCTGCCAAGGAACCAGTTCCCTGAGATTGCCTAGTATTTCATTTGGCAGCCTCATTCCTCCTTCGTAAAGATCCAGAACGTCATCAAAGGAATCAAACTCATTGATAGTTTTGTCACACAAAGATTTGATCTCTGGGACCAATGTCTGAATAATCGACTTTAGACCATAAGCTAGAAAATCCGATAATTTCAAGTGTCGAAACTGCTCATCTCTTGGCACGTAAATTTTTAAACTCAGCAAAGGCAACCTGCTTTCGCAGCATGGATCTGTAACAACAGAATCAGTCTGATGACTGGAATTAATCAATGTACAAGAAGATGAACTCGAAAGAATTGTTTACGAAGATCGAATTCTTAACCCGATTTCGACGGTTTTCGTCCGGTTCGCCCTCTTCGGGGGTATGGATACTCCTTCGAGCCACCAAGAACAGTGCGTACATACTTTTTGCCCGAGTCTGGCATCCCGAGATCATTGTAATAAGCATAGTCGTAAACTCTATCCCACTCCTTGAGCTCACCGATGCCGTTTCCCCGAAGGTTAACAAGTTCTTCTTCCCTATACTTCCTCAATGGCTCAGGTGTTTGACATGGAAGGTAACTCTAACAAAAGGTTAAACAGAATCTCCTGTTAATAATCCACAGTTACAGGATTGATTACACGAAATATGCTTTAGATTTTACCTTGTTTGAGAAAAAGACACGATCATAGGAATAGCGATGAGCAGGATAAACCCAAGAATTGCAGACGAAATGCACACAGCCATGGCCAGGAACATCATGTAAAGTGACTGTCTTCAAGTAAAACTGGCTCGCATGGTGGTTTCTTATGATGAACGCCCCCGGTGCTCCCATCGTCTCCTCCCACTTGAAGAACACTGTAAATGCAATCTCGTCCGCCGTCATCGACGGCTTCACCGTCGTAATCCACTGCTCCAAATACGCCGCCGAAGCTAGAAAAAGAAAGAAAAAAAATTCCACAACACATAAGAGAAAACAAAACAGTCCCTGCATTCGAACTCCTGTAATGTTAATTCCTCTCGAGAAAGACCTGAATCAGAAGGATTCTCAGAACTAATGAGTTGAATGGAGACGCCCTTCCCGCAAAACTCATGAACTCGATCGAGAACCGAAGCCTTGACGTCTTTGAAGTCGAGGACGCTCTTCTTCATCAAAACCACAGTTCCTCTGATCTTCTTGCTGTCGCCGGTACCGCCGCCACCGCCGCCGTTGTATCCTAATTTCCTGAGATTTCCGACGAAAAACATGTCGAGCAGCTTCTGAAGCATCTCCACCCCAGGGCAGATCCCCATTTTGAACAAACTCAATACAGAACACAAGAGCCTGCAAAAATGGCAGTCTATTACAGCTGCTTCAAGAACAATTTAAATACACAAACTACAGAGAAGGAGAATAGTTTTGGAATAGATTCCAGACTTCTTCCAGTTATGCATTAAACAGGGCCCTTGAAGAATTAATTTATTCCATTTTTTTCTTTTTCTTTTTCTTTTTCTTTTTATGTGAGGATAATGAGAAGTACAGGATCCCACATTCGTATCCAGATCTATGTTGTCTGAAATCAGATTACGTAGTATGATTTTAAAAAATGTCTCTGCATATATATTTTTTTTTACAGAAATCATTAATAAACATGGTATTTTTTAAATGAATTATAGATATAACATTTTATAAAATAATCTGCCAATTATTTCGCAATTCTTCTATTTATTATCGCGATAAACATTGGATGACGTGCGCTCATTTACACCATTTGTGGTTTGACTTAAATATTAATTAAAGCAGGTTAAAATAATAATAATTTTTAAATTTTTTTTTTAAAGTTTATGTTCATGTAAGATAGAGATTTCTAACATTTTATTTATAGTATAGATGTATAATATTTCAAGAGTTAGGGTAAATTGGTTCGAAAGTAATTATTATTGTCTGGTGTGTGCTTGTTAAAATTATATTTATAATAATTTTTGTTGAGCCAATTGGAGCATAATTTTAATTACAAAAATCATGGTGTATTAAAAAAAAAATTCATACTTCCCTACTACAACATATAAAAATTTTGTGTGAAATTTACGAAGTGATATAAAGTATTCTTGTTTTGTTTTTATCCTTTTAATTATAGGAGAAAACAATAATAATGACAAACCATAGCATAATTCAATTGATTAAAATATATATTATCGACCAAAAAATCAGAGATTCGAATAATCACCTTATATTTTTTTAAAACTCAAAGTAATAATGAATAATAAAATATGACAGAGCTAGATGATTTGATTTACCTACATCATTTCTACTAAAAAAAATATTAAGATTATCTAAATTTAAATTTTGGAGGATGTTAATTTAAAATTATGACGAAATTTTTCTTTAATAATAATAATAATAATAAAGTCCTTCAAATTATATATAAAGTGTCATATCAATCATAATCATGAATGGGAGATGATATATATTTAGGATCTATTTGACACTTGAAAGTTACATATTATATATATATATGATAATATATATATGTATGTGATTTTCAATAATTTAATGTTGGACCACATCATAATAAATAAGAAAAAAAAAGGGAAAATTGCATAAATTATTGTCCAACCAAAAATTTATGTAATGGATAGATTTGCTATTCTAATCTTTAAAATATTAAAAATAGTTATAATTTGATTAATTACTTGTACCATCTATAAACTATTACTTTACATAGCACTAATTATTTTGTTTGTTTTAGAAAATATTAATTCAAAAAGGAACAAGTGTAGATATTTTACATACACCATATTAAAAAAATATATCAAAATTTGGGTATTATATGATATTATTATTTTGTAATTTTGTTTCCTTAAAAGTAAAAGCACTTCTCTGTTTCACCAATAGGAAGATTTGTCAATGAAGTGGTAAAAGAGTAATTTCCTCAACAAAGGGATAAGATTTCCTCTCTAATCAGAGAGAAAGAGAGTTGTGCAAACAAATCTAGTTTTTCTTATTATTATTATTTTAGGGATTTTAAATCTGATAATTTTGATTAAAAGGGAACAAGAAAGTTAAAAAGAGGGAAATGCTTACCAAATAAATATATTTTTAATTTTTTGGGAAGAGCTTACCAAATAAGTTGGATTAGACCTTTTTTGGCAAAATAGGTATGGTATAGGTTCTAATATTTGTTTGTTGGGTTTTCTTGAAGCAAAATAAAAACAAGTTTATTCCATCAATATTTTGTGTTGTCTAGTTTTACAATTTTGTCCATTTTTTGCTAGTGATATTCCTATACATCTACTTTCACTTTCCAACTAATCACCCATTTTCTATACCACAGTGCATCGATATACCTTCGATATAGTCCTTAATCGTTTAGGTAATTCTCCATTTAGTACCTAATTTTTTGAAATTGTTAGGAAACCCTTAAGAGTTTGATCTAAGAACCTTGCTAACGAACAAGACCCATAGAACTCAATCCCAAAAACAAGTATGGAATCAATCCAAGGAAAATTTTAAGAACGGATCACCTTGATGATCAATATCAAGAGTAGAAAAAACTCGTTTCTAAACTCGTGATTCGAATCACTCCACAAGAGGTATGATCAACACCGTTTGAATGATCATAACATGCAAATTCTAAAGACACAAGAAATTGTACAAGAAATGGGAGATAAAGCTCTCAACCAAGCTAATGAGAAAACTCACTTTTCATTAAACTTCAAATTGTGTTTACAACAAGGACATCTCAAGACTATAGATAGCCATCCTAGCAAACCATATGAAAGGTCCTAAGAAAATGGAAAGACTCATAACTTATGAGAAATGAAAAGACATGTAAATGTAAAGACATAACCTACAAGAAATGAAAAGGCTTGCAAATGAAAAGTCATAACTTAAGTAAATTAAAAGACAAGCAAATGAAAAGGTTAAGAACATGTAAATCCAACCAAAATAAGTGCAATCTCATCCATAACGAGGGATGAGAGTGTTTGACTTGATTTTTTGAATTGAATGAGTTGACTTTGACCTTGACCAAGTGGACTTTGACTTGTCTTAAAAACACTTAGAAATGTATAACTTGCACCAAATTGTAGTGAATTGTTCCAACATCTTGCACATCTTCCTTTAATTCTCGTGTCGAGTTTACGAACGCTTGGACACGAAGTAGTAAGACTTGTTGAAGTTTTCGAGCTCTTGATCTTGTAATCGGTCCATGAGGCATGACAAATGGAGCTCCAGAAATTCTCAACGTTATTCCTTTGTTGTTATTTACCAAAATTTTTTTGAAGTTATAATCAGAATTATTTTGACGTTAACGTCTTAGTTGGAGATATATGTCAATTACCGCTGAGCTATGCTCGTTTTGACTTCATTACTATATTATTGATAGTAAATATTCTCCCTTTTATTTTTATTAATCAAAGAAACATAAATGTGTTTCAAAAAAATTTCTTGATTTTATATTCTCAAAAATGTTAAATCAATAGAATAAAATTTTACATGGAAAATAATTTTTTAAATACATATATTACATTATATTTATTTTTCTTAAAAAATACTTATTATGCACTTTAGAAGTAAAAAATATAAAATAATACTATTTATGTAAAAACTGAAATGGAAGTAGTATGGCTTTGTTGGTAATTAATTTTATTTTTTATTTCTAGTTTTAATCACTACTCCCACCTATATTCTTGTCATTCAATTTCAACCGAGAAAACGAACAGACTTTAGTTGATAGAAAGGAAATGTATACTGATACATTCAAAAGAGTTCTATTTTCTATTTATCTTTCTTTTGTTCAATTTAGGGTGCTTTGACTAATATGAATATAATCATTCCTCCTATGGATCTATTATTCTTTTTTGTTGTTATAAGTCTATTAAAAATGTTTTCAAAATCTAAGCTAAATTGAAAAAACGAAAAGAAGGAGTTTAAAAAACTTATTTTTATTTATTAAAATTTAACTAAAAAATCAAATGTGTTGGGAAGAAAAGTAAAAAATATATATAATAAAGATATGGTTGAAAAAACAAACATAATTTAAAAAATAAAATTAAAATGGAAATAATCGGAGCAAACCTTTCTTAATCTAACATTTTGTTTAAGAGGAAATTAAATTCCAGTACATTTAAAATAGAAACTGATGGAAAATAGATGGAATAATCATGGCCGTTGAATGTCAACTGCAAGTCTGAATACTAACCTTCCCCTCACGTTCCATATCCGTCCACCATCAAATACTCCCCACAGGGATTCTCTGCCCTCCTCAAATTAAATTTAATATTTAATATTTCGTTTTAAGATTTAAAAAGGATTTGATAAACCCCGTAAGCTAACTCACTCATTAAGGCATACATCTTTGAGACGGGGNAATAAGCAAGGTCAACAATCAAAATGGGATAAAAACCGTTACGAGGCTCGGTATAAAGGTCAAAACCTAAATAATGGGAGAATAATGGTCTTATTAGCGAGCCAATCTCCACCGAAGTTGACTTCACGATAAATATGAACATAAAGRRCTTGTCTGGCAACGTTCCTATTTATTGTTTCTGTTTCTTTATTTTTAATGAGGAAAAATATATGATATGGTTCCAACCTCTAAGAATGACACAACTCTAAAGATTTTGAGACTAAAATAATCTGTAATGTTAAATTCTCATTTGAGTCCCTACCATTTATATTTAATTTCAAAGTTCCAATTTCATACATGAATTTTGTGCCGAATGTTGTAGTTTTCTTACTGTTATTTGAATGTAGTGCATATTTTATTTAGAGGTGTTGTTTAACCAAATCAATGGGAATAAAGCTACACTTTGTTTTTAAACCATAAAATTCAAGCACTAAGCTATAGGAATTAAACTAAAAATTAACTTAAACAAAAGAATTATTAAAAGGAGAATAAGGAAGGGTGTGAAGATAAATTTAAGTTATTTAAATATTTTGTGAAAAGTAAAACCTTTGAATTGATTAAGAATTTTTTAAGGAAACAAAGAAAAAAAAAAACCTACACTTTGCTTTGTACGAGAGGATGTCGTAGATGCTCTCCTTTTCTTGTCGGCCATTGAAGGAATATTAAGCAAAGAGTTTGAAATTTTTCTTCGATCATATGAATTTTTCTATTCTATTAGTAATTTTAGTCCATATTTTTGGCACGTGAATGATATTGGGATTTAATATGTTGTTTGTTGGGAGGCATATTTTTTAAAATAGTTTATGAAAAACAATATTAAAAAAAGTTCAATATTGTCTTTGAATGAACCAATTTGATATTGGATGTAACTATATAAAAAGTTTTGAGTTCAAAATTTTCAACCTCCAACTTATGTTATTTTTAATTACATATGTATTTGTTTTTTAGTTTCTAACGCGTTTAACAATCCTTAGAGTACCAAAATGAGTGTTAATTTATTGGTTGAGGTAACTTGTTTCTTCTCTATAAGTCGAGGTTTAATCCTTTATCTCTACTTTTGTTGTATTCAAAAAGAAAAAATAAAAATAAAAATTTTAAAAAGGATGAATAGGATCGATTACTAAATT